CAGCAGGCCTTACTGACATAAATGAACATTTGCACGATATTCTAATTTTTCAAGTTTCACCTGTACTCCATTCATAACATTATTTAAATAATACATACTAATCAGAAAGGGTGGCTCTTTTAAATCAGCACAGGCTTTTGTTAACTCCAAAGGTTACTGCTATCTTATTTTAAAATTTGTCAAGTGGCATCTTAGAAAGGATTATACTAGTTCCAATATTTTAAAGAGATGCATGTTTAATTGTACAGTCACATCTTATGAAACATGCATAGTTAAGTTACTGTAGCTTAAAAGCCTACTTCATCAAACACATTTAGTAGTTTCCTAAGTTTGTCACTGCCCCCTAGATATGAAAGACATGCTTTATTCTTTTCCATTCACAATATTTATTCATGTATTACAAAGAGTTTCATGCCACCTTCAATCAAAATTATCAGGACAACAGAATGTCCTAACTATATAGGAGTAATTATTGTCTGGAAATCTTTAAGCTAAAGAAAGACAGTGTGCAGCCCTCCAGTTGTTGCTGGATTGCAGCTTCCATCACCCTGAGCCAGCTGAGTCTATTATAAGGGATTATAGAAGTTGCAGGCCAGCATCTGGACCAGAAGGCAAATTTGAATTTAAGAATGGGCCGGATCTGGCTTGAGTCTGAGCAGAAAAACATCCCCCCCCCAAAAAAAAAGTTCCCAGTGCATCCCTATGGGAGAGGCAGTTGGGTAGTGGCTCCGAAAATGGCTGACTGCTCTGTTCTGAGCCCCATCCCTTTGTGGTCATGTGATCTAGAGCAGAGATTTTTTAAGGTTTGGGAAATCCAGAAGCCATGTCTTCCCTAATTTTGTTAAGAACATAGTGGATTTAAAAGCTAAAGCATTGGAAAAGGTAACAGAAGGCATGTCACAATTCTAATAAATTAGTATTCTGTAAGGACAGGGCTAGGCAATCTCAGGCTCACAAAATACCCCCATAACAAATTTGAGAGCAAACCTGGTTTTTTAGCAATGCAATTTTCTACTTTAGGCCTAAAAATATGGGGAAAAAATTTAAAATATATTTTTGCAGCCTCTGGCCAAAAAATCACCCATTCCTGCTTTATGCAATCACCTATACGGTTGAAAGTGAAATTCTGAAGAACCAAAGAATAAATCCCATTTGTTCCAGTGTGACCCATATCTAAGTAATAATGTGTAAGACTGTGTATTAATTCCTACATGAAAGAAAAATAGCTATTTTGGGAGGGGGAGTTACCTTTTGGTAACTTTGATCTCTTAACCACTAAAAATTTCAATACCCCTTTTTTGTGAACCATATAGTGAGAACCTTTATTCTGTGAGGAAAAAGTAGTGTTAACCTGGAGTATTTTCACCCTTAAGGCCAACTTTTCAATTTCAAAGCAAACACCCAGATTTGTTCTTGGCGCCACATTACCGGCCTGTGCATGTTTACTCAAAAATAAGGTTCACTGTGTTCACTGGAACTTAGTTCCCAGTAAGTGTGTAAAGATTTATAATTTAGTGATTTGTAAAATGAGTAAGGTCTTTGAAAGTTTGGAGAGTATCAACAGTTTGAGTACACTCCAAGCACTCTGTCTAAAAGCTATGTGTCTACTAATTGTCTTATAGTGGAAAGTTTTCTCGAAAGCTGTAATTAAATTTCTTCTAATACTGCTTTTTCTTGAAAGCTGTAATTAAATTTCTTCTAATACTGCTTTCTTATCACTTGACAGTACAGATGGGTTGCTAAGCACTTGGGTCCTCAATTTGTGGAGCGACTAATTCTGACCAGAGATAAGACAGTTGTTTCAGCTGATCTGCTCTTTGATGACAAGGACACCATTAAAGGTATGAGAATCTGAGGTACAACTTCCACATCAACTTCGTTGGCATTGGCCAGGCAGTTGACAACAGATCATTCCAGATCATGCTGTATCCTATGGTTATATTTTTAATGTCCCTTTCCAATTCTTCTCAGGGGTGGAGCCAAATCCAAGCTGGGAGCACATCTTGTTCTCTTGCTGTCACAACAAACATCTAAAGCTACAGCCATCGCAGAGACGGCTTGAATCTTGGGCTGATGACTGGAAGGCAATACTGGAGAGCAAACGCTCCAAGTAATACATAAAGGGAAGAACATTTATTTCAACTACCATCAAAGTTCTGGGAAGTATAAGCTGATCATCAGTCCCCACTGGAAAGAGAAACACATTCCTGCAGTCAAATGATCCATATGGGAATAGGATTATATCTAACTCTAAAGGATCTTGAGTGATTTGAGTTATTAAAATGTTAAATCCCTGGATGAAATGTTTGTTATGTTTGTCAATTAATAAAATGAACAAAAGAGGCCTAAAAATTTAAGACAGCCCTTTGGGCCATTATCTTTTTTCCCCTGCTACTTCCTGAAAAATAAACTTCAAAGAATCTATATTTCTGTTCTCCCAGTTCCCCTCTACAACTAGTCTAGTATAATAGTTACCAAGGCCCCTTAGCAACTGGCTTATATTTCTCAATAATGGGAGAATTAATTGGAAAGCACATCAGAATATAGAAGGAACCCATCCATTCAGAGACTCCACAGTTTGCTTTCCAGGTAGCTCTCGAGGCCATTTACAGTAATTTTTATAGCCGAATACCTGTCACAACTCCTTTCTCTTTTCCTCTGGGATGTATGACAGGAAGGAATCCTACTCCTCATTCAGGGAAGATCATCCAGGCTGCCTGCTGTGCTGCCTTCATCCTTGGGCAGTGGAATCCCTACCGCCGTGTGCCTGGTCAGGGTCCTAGCTTTGTCCACCTGAAGGGGGCTGCAATAATCCTCAAGGAAAATAGTGGCCAAGTTTCGCAGCCTTCTGTTGGTTGAAAGGGAGAAGCGCAGCATGCACTCAATCACGGGGAGGGTGGTGATCTCTTGGCAAGACTGGGGTGTGGTCAAGTACATCAGAGATGTTACTGCAGACAGAACGGTCTCTTCGTTGGCACTGGCCAGGCAGTTGACAACAGCTGCCACTCCACCGGCCTCCAGTATATAGTCTTTGTTGATTTTGTCCAGGCAGAGGTTACAAAGTCCTCCTGAAAAATAAGAGAATGAGGTGCTGAAAATAATATCAGGGTTGTTTGATCCATTTCATCTTAATAATAATGTATATTTCAGTAGCTCTGAGATAACTTGTCCCTTGATTCTGTCCATAAATAGTTTTGAGTTAAATCCAATACAGGTAGTCCTCACTTACTGACTGCTCATTCAGTAACCATTTGAAGTTACAACAGCACTGAAAAAGGAGATTTATGACCGGTCCTTGAAGTTGCAGCTGTCATAGCATCCTGTGATCACGTGGCGGGCACTTGGCAACCAGTGCACATTTACAACATGTGATCACCATTTGTGACCTTTGCAGCCAGCTTCCAACAAGTAAAGTCAATAGGGAAGCCGGCAGGAAGTTACAAGTTGGGGTCACGTGACATCGTGCTTAACAGCGACGTCACGTGACCATGATGGAGCTGACATTGTAAGTTAGCATGGTCATGTGATGTTTCACTTTACGAATGTGTTGTTTAGTGACAGAGTTGCCAGTCCTAATTGTGGTAATCAAGATCTACCTGTATAGTATAAGCAGACTTGCAAGCTATTTATATGAATGTTGTTCATCAAGAATACCTTTCAGGAGGTGCAAACCAGGCCTCTCAATCTCCAGTATCCTTATATTAGAAAGCTAGAATGAGCATGCTGAGAGCTAAATTAAGGCAACCATTACCCACAGGTCACAATGTAGTCATACCCACTAGTAAAGCCAGTCACATGTACTGTTCTGTCAAATGGGGAAGACACAGCAGAGAAGGACCAAGTTTGTTGGGAAATTATTCTAATTCATGGAAAGTCAACGTTGAAATCCAGGCTTTACCAAGTGCAAATTCCACAAGAGTTTCATTGTCTTCGGTGAGCATATCCAGAAACAAATCCAAGACCTTGAGCTGCCGAAGATATTCATAATTTCTGGGGTCATAAGCAAAATTAGCCAGATTAGCCAACACCTGCTCTTTGGCTTCTGCAACATAAATAAAAAAAACCTCTTAATATTAGAAAGGCACCTGTAAAGGTCAAAGGGAAAGTAAGAACTGACCAATAAATTATACTCACCTGAGCTTTCTGTCACTTGGAATTCAGTGACTAGGGCTTGCAAGTATTCAAGGCGACCCAAACCTAGCAACTCCTTCTGATTTTGGGACATGGATGCTAGATAAACAGAAGATAAAACACTATGAAGAACATCAGCTGGTGTTATGGTAGATGCCAATACTGATTATAAATATACTGTACTGTGCAAAAGTTTTAGGCAGGTGTGAAAAAATGCTGTGAAGTAAGAATGCTTTCAA